CTCCTGGGAAATATTAGCCAGAGGGACATTGTACGGGGGTGGGGGGGACGGGTGCTTGTATAAATTTTCCCACTTTGAGTTCTACATTCAGAACTGACATCACTCCCAGAATTCAAACTGTACATTTTAAGTTCTCACGGTTTTCTGTTTTGTCATTTTCTGGCCTTTAATAATGGCAAATACTGTCACCTCTCAGCTGGTTTCCCAAGATGGAAATCTCCCAGTCATCACCAACTCTGTTTTTTCTTCACCTCCCACATTGCATTAGTCCCCAAATGCTGTGAGTTCTTCTCCATCAGGATGTACTTGAAATCTGTCTCAGCTACTAGTCTCCTGGTCTGTGCCTTCAGTTCTTAATCCCATCATCTCTTGCCTGGATGATTCTTTTTAGTTTTTCCCTGTACCAGTTCATCAGTCACATTTAAAAATACCAATTGAACTGAACTGAATTCTTATTACCTGTAGATTTAAATTTGATTCCTCTGTGACCCATTACAATTCAACCTCTTCCAGCCTACTTACCCACTTCTCCTGCCTGCTTCTCCCTTCTCCTCCCACCAATATAAATCATGTTACTTATATCCTGCATTTTTTTTTTTTGCCATTCTGAAGCAACTGACCTTTATAGAGCTCTATAAATCACAGAAACAAGGTGAACCGGGTGAATAGTGCCTGTGCAGGTGCTAATCCTTCTGTCTGATATGTCTTTTCACCCAATAAAAACAGCAAACTCCTATTCATCCTTTAAAGCCCAATTGATCTCTTCTGTAAAGGGTTTCCCTGTCTGCAGTTAATCTGCTCCCTCTGGGGCATAATATTCTATGGTATACATATACCACAATTTATTAACCCATCCATGGGTTGATGGGCACTTGGGCTTCTTCCATGACTTAGCAATTATGAATTGGGCTGCAGTAAAAATTCTGGTACATATATCTTTGTTATAAAGTGATTTTTGGTCTTCTGGCTATATACCTAGTAGAAGAATTGAAGGATTGAATGGCAGGTCTATTTTTAGATCCCTAAGTGATCTCCAAACATCTTTCCAAAAAGAACATATTAGTTTGCATTCCCACCAACAGTGCAGAAGTGTTCCCTTTTCTCCACATCCATGCCAACATCTCTGGTTTTGGGATTTTGTGATGTGGGCTAATCTTACTGGGGTTAGATGATATCCCACCAAAATGATTTTTAAAACAATTTCTGTTACAATACTTACCAAGTTGTGGCCTGGTGTAGTGGCTCACACCTGTAATCCTAGTACTCTGGGAGGCCCTGGGCAGGTGGATTGCTTGTGCTCACAGGTTTGAGACCAGCCTGAGCAGGAGTGAGTCCCCTTCTCTAAAAATAGCCAGGTGTTGTGGTAGTCCCAGCTTCTCGGGAGGCTGAGGCAAGAGAATCACCTAAGCCCAAGAGCTGGAGGTTGCTGTGAGCTGTGATGCCACAGCACTCTTTGGAGGGTGACAGAATGAGACTCTGTCTCTAACAACAAAAAAAAGGAAGACATTTTGATGACATTCAGGACACCAAGGATGACATGATGACAGCTTTGATAGCCATTCCAGAAATCTTCGAAAATTGCTCTGAAGGGTACACTAGGCGCTGGCATTGGTGTATAGCTTCCTAAGGGGAGTACCTCGAAGATGACTGTAATGATACAACAATGAAGTATTAGCGCTTTTTTTTTTTTTTTTTTTTTGAGACAGAGCCTCAAGCTGTCCCCCTGGGTAGAGTGCCATGGCATTACAGCTCACAGCAACCTCCAACTCCTGGGCTCAAGCGAGTCTCCTGCCTCCGCCTCCCAAGTAGCTGGGACCACAGGTGCCCGCCACAACGCCCGGCTATTTTTTGGTTGCAGCCGTCATTGTTGTTTGGCGGGTCCGGGCTGGGGATTCGAACCCACCACCTTAGGTGTACGTGGCTGGCGCCTTAGCCGGTTGAGCTATAGGCGCCGAGCCTAGCGCTCTTTTTAGGATGAGTTCTCGAACTGAATTGTCAGACTTTGTATGTATATATGTATGTACCTATGTAAGTAGGGAGGTATTTGCTCACATATGCACATCTATGAATGATGCCTAAGAAACAAAAATGTTGGTTGCCATTGGAAAGAAGAAATGGATGGTTGAGGGCCAGGATGGGCGGGGACAGCACATTGTAAGTAGTTCGGGTATTTTTGTTCGTTTTGGAAAGCAGATTCTGAGACAGAGTTTTGTGTCCAGCTTTTTTTTTTAGAAAATGCCTCAGGATCCACACCAGTGAAAAGGAGGGAAAGGAATCAGGACTTAGCCAAGGGGAGAGTTGACCTGTGATTGGGGCCCGACAATAGCTTCCTCCACCAAGCCCACCCAAAACTCAGGAGTTAAAATGGTTCCTTTAAAAGTATGGCCAGGCTTTTGTGGCCCAAAGGAGTAGGGCACCGGCCCCCTATACTGGAGGTAGTGGGTTCAAACCCAGGTCCCGCCAAAAACTACCAAAAAAAAAAAAAAAAAAGAGTATGGCCAGGCTTTTATACCACTGCCTTGATCAGTCACTGAAGGAGTCATATGCTGGGCTGGGTCCTAAGATAGAAACGTGAGGAAAAGCAGAGATGATCTCTGTCTTCATGGAGCTTGCTGTCTGGATAGGAGCTTACTGTTTGTCTGGAAGCAAAATAAGGTCATCAATCACTCAGATAAATATAAAGCTGCCCTCACACGATGGGTTACAGTGGAAAGGAATGTGGTGTGAGGAGAGCTTAGAGCAGGTATTTGATCCTGTGAGAAACAGCAGGGGAAGCTTTTGTGAGGAAGTGATGTGTGAGCTGTAATCTGAAAGGTCAGTAGCCTTTGATTAGCTAAAGGAAGATGACAGAATCATATTTATGTGTATCTTTCCAAAAGATTACTCTGGATTCAATGAAAAGCATGGATAAAAGGAAGCAAGAATGGGCATCTCTGGGATTGTCAAAAGGCTATGGAAATCCTTCAGGTGAGGAGTAATGGTTATCTGAACTAGGGTGGCTATGCATCTCAAGAAGTATTTTTGAAGTACACAACAGGTGAGGCTTATTTATGGATTGTATATGAGAGATAGGCAAAGAGAAGTGATAAGAGAGACTTCTAGGTTTCCACCCAACTACATGGTTGGTTCAGAGAAAGAATATTGGAAGAGGAACAGGTTTCTTTATTTTGTGCATGTATGTTTGATTTTTGACATTCTGGTTTTGAGGTGTTATTAAGATATCCAATATGAGATGTCAAAAGCAGACCATTGCTTATGAGAGTAAAGAGCTCAGACATGTAACCTGTTCCGGGGATGTAAGTTTTTGAGTTGTCTGCCTCAGTAGTGTTTGAAAATGTGGGAGTGGAGAGAAAATATTCCATTCAGGGCAGAGGAGTAGAACCTCAAGGACCTTCAACACTTAACACAGACTCGACTCATAAAAGAGACTAACAGAATTGACTAGAGATGTCAGAAGAAAAGGTGGAGAATATGGTATCACTTCAAAAGGGTGTTTCTTGAAGAAGGAGTCTTCAGCCATGTCAAAACTCTTGCAAAAGGACCCAAGTATTGAAAAATAGCAATTACACTAACCACATGCCGGTCAGTGAAGACGTTAGGGATTTGTTGCTTTTGTTGCAGGACTAACGTTAAAGTGAGTGGAAATGGAAACACTGTGAATAAAAAAAGAAAAGAAGAAGAGAAAAGAAAACCCAGGGACTAGTTTGGGATGGGGGTGGGGGACCTGAGAGCTTAGCGGTTACTACGAAGTTTCCTAGATGGTAGGAAGGAAAGTGTCAGTAAAGCCTTGTTCTAAATGCAGAGGAGCGATCCTCTGCTGTCACAGGAGGGAAGAAAGAGAATGGCGGGGTGCAAATGTGAGTGCATTTGTATGTGTGGTATGCAAGAGATGGAGGGATTGGCTTCTCTTTTCTTTGTAATGAGAGGAGGGATAAACTGCTTCTCTGAGTATGATTAATAAGGGTGCCTTGCAAAATAATTGTTCTATTTGTGGATAGTTGCCTTAGCTCTCCAGCTGTTTCACAAATAGTTAACTATATGTCCATGTTCACAGTTGTGAGAATGTAAGGGCCAGACCAGGGCCATTTTGTTGTCTACTACATAAGCTCTGTTAAAACCGCAGGGCCACTCCCTACTGCCTCCCCCACACCTGCTTGCATAGCCACTGATTGAGACACCTTAGACAGACAGCTGCCATAATAGGCAATAGGTTTCAGTCTCCTTACAGCTGCCATAATAGGCAATTAAGTATCAGTTCCCTTGAACTGCTCCCATAATAGGCAATAGGTATCTACTTCCTTGAAATTTAGGCATTCTTCTTCCTAATTAGGCTACACCACCTCTAGCCCCGGTTAAGAAATCCCCTACCCTTTACCTGTACCAATCCAAATCCTCCTTTACTAGTGAAATCATCAACCACCAATCAAGAATATAACCGTGCTAATGTAATCATCAACAACCAATCAAGAGTGTACCCGTAAGGGACCCTACCCTTCTTGCTTTCTGTACCCCATAAAAACTTGCTCTACCCCGAGTTCGGGGCTTGTCCTTGGCTTGCATGCCAGGAGAGTCCAGGCTTCCCGGGGCCTGAATAAAATTCACCTTTTGCCTTTTACATCGGAGCGCATCTCGGAATCGGCTGTTTGGGAGAATAATTTTCGGACCTAACAAGAACACAAACAATAGGTGGTTAACAAATACTAGATTGATTTTTATCTAATGATGAAAATAATTATGGTTCTGGCAAAGGTAAACCTGATGATACCCCGAAGGCAAGGAAGAGTTTAAACTCCAATCAGGCTCCTAGCATAAGGCGGCCGACCAGTGAGAAGAAAGACTCATAGTGGCCCACTGCCCAAGGAAAGGAAATTCACCGCATGCCTCTTCCAGTCCAGCACCCTAAGGGTTAAGATCAACGAGAGTCAGCCGTCATCGCTTCCTAGAGAGTCCCCGCAGGGCAGCAAGGGGTAACTTCCTGTTTCTGTCCAGTGGGTTTGAGTGTTTAGGACCCGGGGTTGGTGGGGTGAGAAAGAGCGGGGGCTCCTTCTTCCGGGACCGCTGGGGGTGCGGGGCGCCTGGGGTGCAGGCCCCAGAACAGTGAGTTCCTTCTCGGGGGAAAGGGAGCCTTGGGCTATGGGCGAGAGGAGTGGAAACTGCGCCACCCAGGCTGCCGCGCTCGTCCCGCATCCCGGGGCCGCTCGTGGCGGAGGCCCGGCCTCTCCCGCCCTACAGCCAGCGCGCCGTCCTCGCCTGCGGGGATCCTGTCTGCAGGGGATGGTCTGGTCTCCTGAAACTAAGCCCCTCAGCATCTCCACGCTGGTCTCTGCCAACGGTTCTTTAAGCTTCAGGCGGTGCATTTTCTTTGGAAGGCGTTCTGATCTAAGCACGACCCCATGCTAATCACCTCTTAAAAAACAACCCTTTTCTGTAGAATGACGTCTTACTGACAGCCTTTTAGTACCATTTATGGCCTTGAATTTCCCGCCGTTTTGTTGGGCCAGAAGGGCTTTTTTACTACTAAATTTAAGAGTATTTTAGTAGGGAAAATGATGGACAGTAATATGTTAGACTCATGCTTCCCTTGTAAAACATACATTACTTCGTTTGAAGAACGCCCCCGCTTTTTGTTTTCGGGTGTATGTTTTTCCCACTTAAATACTGGGAACTTGTGCAATTTAAATTAAGTGTCACCTTTCTCTAGAACAAATCCCTAGTTGCTGAGTGTGCTTTTGGAATGCTGGCCCACTTTGATAGAAGGTTTAGGGATGTAGATCTGTTTTCTAAAAGCCCGGTTGATATATTCTAGGATAAAGGTACTCTTTGAGGATCACTTGCAGTTTGGGATGATGCCCAGCTCTGCTTCTTGTTCTAGGTTACTGTAATAGATGAGAGTGTGAAAGTCAGCATCTAATCAGATTTTGGTCTCAGACCTGTTCTACCACTTTGTATGTGACATTAGGAAAGTTTTTAATGCTTTCCTAACTCAATCTGTGAAATGCTGGTAATTGTTAATATGCTTCAAAGGGCTAACTTTAAATAAGAAATATGTGCAAATTATTGAGTTCATTACCTGGCACAGGATAGGCAGTAGTAGGGTGAAAACTATTAAGTACACTATTTTGTGTGTGTTTTTCATGTGTATGCCTTTGTATATCCTTCTTTTAAGCTTTTATTTTTCTCACAGGTATACTATTCTTTAGGTCCTGAAATGAATGCCAAGGCCATATTTAACTGCCTTCCAGTGGGACTTTTTCTATTCTCTTAAAGTAGGTCAGGGATTATAGTTGGCCTCAGAAGATAAAGTTTAGGTTGCATTGAATGTCTGATTATGGTAGACTTAGAAACTTACACCAAGGAAGAAAGAGTTCTCTTTTCAATCTTTTTTCTCCTTGTTGTATTTAGGGATTGTTGGCTGTAATTATTACAGTCTTGCTTTGTCCTAATTTCTTGTTAACCGGTTATATAAATCCTAACTTTCCTTTGAGTCTTACTTCAAAGGTTTCTTCTGTCAAAGACAAAGTTGTTCAGGGTGGTGCCTGTGGCTCAAGGAGTAGGGTGCCAGCCCCATATGCTGGAGTTGGCGGGTTCAAACCCAGCCCCAGGCAAAAACTGCAAAAAAAGAAAAAAAGACCGAGTTGTTCTTTTGCAACTAAATAGGATGTAGTCTCTTCTTCAGCTTCTTATTCCTTCGTATTGATTTCTTGAAATCCTTTTTTTTCTTTTCTTTGAGACAGGGTCTCTCTGGGGGGCAAGCAATGGCATGATCATAGCTCACTGTAAGGTCAAATTCCTGTGCTCAAGCAATCTTCCCGCCTCTGCCTCCCAAGAAGCTAGGACTACAGACATGTGCAAAATGCCCACTAGTTGTTTTAAGTTTTTTTTAATAGAGAGACAGGGTCTTGTTGTATTGCTCTGGCTAGTTTCAAATTCTTTTTTTTTTTTTTTTTTGAGACGGAGCCTCAAGCTATCCCCCTGGGTAGAGT